AAATTTTTCATATTCTTGGCCTCATAATTCTACTTCTGAAGCTCCACACAAGATATGAGCAAAGATGTATGTATCAGAATGTTCATTCCAGCCTTACTGATCATAGCAGAAGGCAGAAAACAATGACAAGACCTAAGATCGGGGAGTGACTAAGTACAGAGGCTGGAAGGTGAAGTGCCTGAGAGTGGGAACTCCTGAGCCTGAGGCAGGATTTGAATCATGTTCTGTTACTTCCTAGTTGTGTGGACTAGTAAGGACTGAAGCTCTGTGTGTGATCGTTTTTCCATCTGTAAAATGAGGATTATTGCAGTACCAAACTCATAGGATTGTGAGCATCAAGGAGCTCATAATATATTTAGAGCATTGCCTTGCACACAGTAAGCGTTCAGAGATGTTAGCGGCCATTATTATTGTAGCTATGGAAATGTGGTTTATAGGTTTTTATTGAACATGAAAATGATCATAAAGTTAAGAACATATTATCAGTATGTTCTGAGTTACATAGAAACAATGCACATAAAAGGAAGGAAACACCTCAAAATCTTCTCAATTATCTCTGGGTGGGGGCCCATGAGTAATTTTTATTCTTTCTTTTAAGTTGTTTGCAAGATTTTCTATAGAGAACTTGTATCACTTTCATAACTGGAGGAAAATATTTATATCTACCTGAAATAGATATTTGAATTTCTCAGGGGGAAATTTCCCTGAAGACCTTTAATGATAGAGGATTAGACCGTGAAGCTGGAATTATAGAATGCACGAGTTCCGTTGTTGAGTAAAGGTAGAAGTGAGTTTGAAGTTAGTTGTTCTGTGTAGTGTCAGTGCATGTTCTGAGGCTCTGGGAGAGATGCTTTCTCTTATTTAGTCCCTCAAAGGTCCCTTGAACGAGTGACTGCAGTTGTGCCCATTTTGCTGCTGACAAAATCAGCGCTTAAAAATGAAATCCTCTGCCTGGGGCCGCACGGCCGGTGAGGGGCTGCACACCTTGGCTTGCCTCCCAAGCCCTCCAAACCTGTGCTGTGGCGTCACTCCAGAGTTGGGACTTTCACTTAGTCAGACGTCTGCACATAACAAATTGTTTTCTGTTCTTAAACCCTATGCATACAAATACAGCCTTCTGTATGATGATCTTTATGATGGTCTGCAATCATAGCTAGCTGGCAGGAGTTCCTTAACTAACTTTTTGCACACTGCTTGTGTTCCCCTCTCCTTTTGTTTTGAGACTGAGTCTCCCCCTGTCACCAGGCTGGAGTGCAGTGCCATGATCTTGGCTCACTGCAGCCTCCACCTCCCAACTTCAAGCAATTCTCCTGCCTCAGCCTCCCGAGTAGCTAGGACTATAGGTGTGTGCTACCATGCCCGGCTAATGTTTTATATTTTTAGTAGAGACAGGGTTTCACTGTATTAGCCAGGATGGTCTTAAGCTCCTGACCTCGGCCTCCCAAAGTGCTGGGATTACAGGCATGAGCCACTGCACCCGGCCCTGTGTTCCCATTTTTATGCATCTGGCTGATTCACTAGTACCTTTTATTATCCTTCTGTCTACCTGGGCATTGTTACTTGACCTGAATTATCTGAAATGACAAGTTACTTTCAGGATAAAATGTGATTTTTATAACTTCTTTCTATAACTTAAATATCACCTAATGTATGTGATTTTTTAAAAATACATGATATTTTGGCCGGGTGTGTGACTCACACCTGTAATCCCAGCACTTTGGGAGGCTGAAGCATGTGGACCACTTGAGATCAGGAGTTCAAGACCAGAACAGCCAACATGGTGGAAACCCCTTCTCTACTAAAAATACAAAAATTAGCCAGGTATGGTGGTAATACACCTGTAATCCCAGCTACTGGGGAGGCTGAAGCATGAGAATTACTTGATCCTGGGAGGTGGAGGTTGCAGTGAGCTGAGATTGTGGCACTGTACCCCAGCCTGGGCAACAGAGTGAGACAGTCTCAAAAACAAAAAAGAAAGCTTCAATTCCTCATTACAGAGAAGCTGGACTGTTTTTCCCCCAAGTAATAACTAAGCTAGAGATATGTGAAAGAGAGTAAATGAGAATAAAAACATCTGGCTGGACATGGTGGCTCATGCCTATAATCCCAGCACTTTGAGAAGCCAAGGCAGGAGGATCACTTGAGGGCAGGAGTTTTGAGACCAGCCTCGCCAATCCCTGTCTTACCAGAAATTTAAAAAAAAATTAGCCAGGCATGGTGGTGCACACCTATAGTTCCAGCTACTCCAGAAGCTGAGGTGGGAGGATCGCTTGAGCCAGGGAGGTTGAGGCTATGAGTTGTCCTCACACCACTACACTTCAGCCTGGGCAACCAAGTGAGATCCTGTCTCAAAAAAAATTAAAAAAAATTAAATATTGAGCAAATAATCTTGCAGAAGCAACATCTGGGAAGAAAAGATAGAAGAGAACCTGAGTGAATGATTGGTCTCACTCCACTGGTAAAAATGTTCAGACATTGACATTCCTAAGACAGCCAGTAGGTCTTTGCCAGTTAAGAGGCTTATCGCCAGGCATGATGCCTCACACCTGTAACCCCAGCACTTTGGGAAGCCAAGGCGGGTAGATCATCTGAGGTCAGGAGTTTGAGACCAGCGTGGCTAACATGGGGAGACCCTGTCTCTACTAAAAATACAAAAATTAGCCAGACTTGGTGGCACATGCCTGTAGTCCCAGCTACCAGGAGGCTAAGACGGTGGGACAATCACTTGAACCTGGGAGGTGGAGGTTGCCGTGATCCGAGATCATGCCACTGTTCTCCAGGCTGGATGATTGAGTGAGACTCCATCTCAAAAAATAAATAAATAAAATAAAATTTTGAAAAAGGGGCATATCGCACTGCTTTTGCTTGGTAACTTTCTCCTTGTGGCCCTTACATTGGGTGGGGGATGGAGAGGAGGGGAGCGACACATTTGTGAGAGATAGAAGATTCAGCTCTCCCAGCAGTGCAGGGCCAAGGCAGTCATTGATTAGTAACTGTCTCTCTGGTAAGACAGGCCTGGCCAGGTGTCCAACTGGTCCCACAGGACCCTGGGCACACTGGTCCCTCAACTCACGAGTACCATTCCAGAGTTCTTCCTCCCTTCCAGATTGTCACCGCCTCCTCTGTGAGCTTACCCATTTCTGCCTCCCAGCTCAGTGTTAGTGCTCTCTAAGGTTGTATCCTAATCCTCTGCTCTTCACTCACTGCTGTCACTGGGGAACCTTTTTTCTTGCCTTTACTTCTACTAACAGATCTGTCTCCTGAGCCACGAGCCCCTGCTGGACACAGCAAGCACAATCTTGACCATTTATCAAGCATCTGCTCTGTGCCAGCCATTTTGCTAGAGGCTATTTCTTCAGGTGTAATTTACAAACAGTGAAAAGCACAGGCCATACATGGGACAGTTTAGTGCATCTGGACAAACATGATATCAACATACCAACACCCAATTCTATACTTTGTCTTTTAAAAATTTCAAGTCAACTCAAATTGTGATTCTCATTTTTATAGTTGAAGAAACACACTAGCTAGATGAAGATGAGTGATTTGAGTGAGGTCACACATTAAATTTATGGGGGAGCTAATTACAGTTACAATACTGATTTGACTTTTCTAGAAGGTAATACCCTTCTTTGTATGATAAGAACTCAGCATGAACAATAAGAACCCAGCATGTTCAAAGCTGCACTTGGCGTTTCTTTGATTCAGTTAGAGCTATTAATTCCTAACTATCCTATATAAAAAGGGAACTTAATTGGTTCATGTAACAGAAAAGTCCAGGAAAATCTTCAGGCACAGTTTGATAAAGGCTCACATGTCAGAGCTCCATTTTTCTGACAGTACTTCTGGACTCTGCTTCCTCTGTTTTGAGTTAATATTAGGGGCACTCTTTCCTCACAGTGGTCAGAGGCCTCCTCAGCTCCCCTACAGACTCATTTAAATCTTGCCAGGAAGGAGGAGGGAGGGGAATTAGACAATGTGCTTAAGTCAATATCTTATTCCTACTTTTCCCTGGAATTCTTTTACCCAGTATTAAAAATTCTGGTGTCAGGGTGTTATAATAAATAGTGTATAGTGTAGTGACTTTATAATTCTTTTAATAGAGAAAGAATGAAATCTAGGGCCGCATGCAGTGGCTCACACCTATAATCCCCGCATTTTGGGAGGCTGAGGCGGGCGGATCACCTGAGGTCGGGAGTTCGAGACCAGCCTGGCCAACATGGAGAAAACCTGTCTCTACTAAAAATACAAAATTAGCTGGGCATGGTGGCAGGCACCTGTAATCCCAACTACTCAGGAGGCTGAGACAGGAGAATCACTTGAACCCAGGAGTCAAAGTTGCGGTGAGCCGAGATTGCACCATTGCACTCCAGCCTGGGCAACAAGAGGAAAACTCCATCTAAAAAAAAAGGAACGAAATCTGTTTAAAGAGAGGTTCTATTTGTTCATTTACTTCTCTAAGCATATGTTTTCATTCTCAATGATCATATTTGGCCATAAAATCCAGGAGACAATTTATAAATTTAGGGAAAACACAGGAAAGAAACCAGCTTCCAGACTGACATATTGCCAAAAACCTAAGACAATATTGTGCAGTACAATTTTACAATAGTTTTTTTTTTTTCTAAATGTGTTATAGTTCAATCAGATAGTCAATAAGAAGAAAATTACTTCACTATGAATTATAAAAAGAATGTTTAGTATAAGCCAGGGATTTTTTCCTTCTGCCCTGTGGGACCAGTTGGACACTGGGCCAGGTTTGTCTTGCCAAAGAGACAGTTACCAACCAATGACTGCCTTGGCCCTGCATTGCTGGGAGAGCTGAATTTTTGTATCTATCTCATAGATGTATCTCTCCCCTCTTCTTCTCCATCCCCCACCCAAGGTATCCTCTTCTTCTCCCCAAAATATTATTTTTTATTAGATGAAACGACTTCATTAAAAAGTGGTTTCCCCCAAAACACTAAAATGTTAACTGTTGCTCTCCTCAATGCTTCTAGGGAATGGAAGACATCCTACGCTGCTTCATCAAAGAAGGCAATGCCGAAATGATCCGCCAGATAGAATTCATCATCAAGCAGCTTAATTCCGGTCAGTTTAATGCAAGATTCTTTGATCTCTCTTTTGAATTGTTCACATTTGCCAGCAAGACACATGGCCTTTTATTCAAGAGGCTTTTAGGAGGCCGGGCGTGGTGGCTCACATCTATAAGCCCAGCACTTTGGGAGGCCAAGGCAGGTAGATCATGAGGTCAGGAGTTCGAGACCAGCCTGACCAATATGGTAAAACCCTGTCTCAACTAAAAATACAAAAATTAGCCTGGTGTTGTGGCATGCGTCTGTAGTCCCAGCTACTCGAGAGGCTGAGACAGGAGAATCTCTTGAACCCAGGAGGCAGAGGTTGCAGTGAACGGAGGTTGTGCCACTGCACTCCAGCCTGGGTGACCAAACAAGACTCCTTCCCCCACCCAAAAAAAAAAAAAAGCCTTTAGGGAGGTGGGGAGACCCAAATGAATCCACAGATAAAAGTTCAGCCAGGTAGTGAAGGCCACATTGTCCAAAGATTAACAATCTCTTATCATACTCTAGGCATATAGTCAACAAAAAGAACTTAAAAGCATTTCCAGAAACCCCTCCCTAACCTTGTAAGTTCTCTTTATGTGGCCTTTCCCTTTCCACTCCTAAATCCTGCCCCACTATTAAGGTGGCTTCCCCAGGGTCCTGGAGTCAGACAATGAAAACAAATGCACTGTAAGAAACTACATTATCTTCCCACATTTTTCATTCACTCTGGAAAAATTGATGTTGCCAACTACAGTGTGGAAGGAGCCAACGTGATACCCTATTTTTTTGTGTGTGACGGAGCTTGCCCTGTCGCCCAGGCTGGAGTGCAGTGGCATGATCTCGGCTCACTGCAACCTCTGCCTCCCGGGTTGAAGTGATTCTCCTGCCTCAGCCTCCCAAGTAGCTGGGACTACAGGTGCCCACCACCACGCCTGGCTAACTTTTTGTATTTTTAATTGAGACAGGGTTTCACCATTTTAGCCAGGATGATCTCGATCTCCTGACATCTTGATCTGCCTGCCTCAGCCTCCCAAAGTGCTGGGATTACAGACGTGAGCCACTGCACCTGGCAATACCCTTTCTATCCTGCCTCCTCCATTACCATAACAACCCATATCCCATAGTAAGCAGAAGAGAGGAAGGCCAGGAAGCCTGGGATGGGGCAGAGGTGGTGAGGAAAGCTCTTTGGCTCTTTCTGTGAACTGACTTGTTCACCTGCCAAAGGTACCAAGCACCGCCAGAATTTGGGCCAGGTTTGTCGCTGTGTCTCTCTCCATGCCCTTCCCTGATACCCAGCAGTCCACATCACTGCAAGTCAAGTGCATGAATCCTTTCCGCACACAAGCAGAAAGTGAGGAGTGAGTCTCCTGGTCCCTACTCACAGGTCAGCTGCTCAGCCAAGGCTGGAAGCCCTCAGGTGGCCTTTCTTCGAGCTCAGGGTTCACAGTCTGGCTGTACAGGGTGGTCACCTGGGGGAGATATTTAAATCTTTAAGACAGCACCCCACACAAATTTAATCAGAATCTCTCAGGGAGGGGATTTCAAGCTCCCAGGGGAGTCCTACATGCAGCCAAGCCAGAGCATTACTGATGCCTGGGTCGCAGAAACGAGAATGTCCAAGGGGCTTCCAATCAAAAGGAGGCAGCTGAGGAGAGTAGCCAGGGAGCTTTGAAACCTTTGTCCTTGTGAGGCTGGGTCTCAATTTACGTTGAATATCTCTGGGTTGTATGGAGGAGCTATAATTCATCCCAAAAGAACTTTATTTTCTGCCAGTAACTTCATTTCTGACTCTCAACCTTCATTCTAGCATATTGAAAAATAAAATAAAACCTGAAGCTCAGTCCTGCCTGAGGTTGCTCTCTCGCCTTCTCTGGGCAGGCCACAGCATTGGGGGAGGGGAGGATTGTTGCATCTGCATCATAGTCATGAGCTGTGCCCAGCCCTCCCAGGCCAGGAGTTCTCTGCATTCAGACTGAGAATCTTCTTCAAGACCACCTGTGTGTTTTAGTCCACTGAGATACATCTGTCTCCTTGTCTTCCCTCCTTCCTGGCAGCCAAGCAGCAGGACGCAGTCCCCTTTTACTCTCTAGCCCAACAAACATCTTTTTCTCTTACATAAGCCTGGCCCTTGGACGAGCCTGCTAGAGTGGGATGAGGAGACACTTTACACTTTTGTAAGGGATGTCTCTGGAAGAAATTGTCTTGGGCAGAGCTAAAGCTTTATAACCCTGGGTACTCTGGAAGGCTTGGGAAATATCTACTTAGCTCATCAAGTTATTGTTTCAATAAAGAGGGCCTAAAGTATTTCTCTTTCGATCTCAAGCACCTAAGTTATCTGTATCCACATAGGAGCCCACCACTTTGAAGCAAAATTTCATAGTGATTGAACATTGGTCGGAAGACCAGACATACAAGTGCTTAGGATATCCATCACCAGCATCAAATCAAAGTGGAACCCAGAAGGGAGCCTCCGTCCTGTCTTCATCCTCACGTGGAAATTAATAGCAGAGTGCAAATTGTTGCTAGTTTACCAGTTCTGAAGATGTATGAAATGGCATTGCCACCAACTTTATTTAGACTCTGCGTTTCCTTGTTTTATTTTAGTAAACATGAAAACATCTCTGTGGGTTTTCACACATCCAAGCCCAGTCTCAGTCTTCTAGAATGATTTTTTCAGTAAAGTTTTAAGGGTCTTCAAGTATTAAAATTCAAGTATATTTTACTGACCTAACCCCACAGGTGGGGAAGGACTATTCTGGCAAAACCTAAAGGAAAATTCTATCTAGTGACATTGGCAATGCAGGGTGAGCTGCCGGCAGCAACAGCAGGGAGATGTGTCCCTGGCTTGGGCCTGGACCACGATGCCAACCCTCAGCAAGGGGAACCAGCACCAGAGAGACAACAGAGGCACCAGCCAGGTCACTGGGCAGGAGCAAGGCAGAGCACCCAGGAAAGGAATGATATGGGCCATTCTAGCCCCACACATGTTAGTTATCAGAGTGCAGGCACCTGTTGGAGTGTGCACCAGGGAACAGGATGGGAGACAGTCGTCCCAGAGAGGAGCTGAGGTCTATAAAGCACTTCACTTCTCAGGCCAGGTTATTTTGGTAGTGGGATGAGTCTGAGCCCGCAGGCCAAGAAGCTATGGGGTCAGGAGGAGGGGAGCTGGGCAGAGGAAGCAGAGAAAGAGAAGTGTGGCTGGGCTGTCTGTTGCCTTACAAAACAGCCAAGAGTCTTAAAAAAGGCATTTCTGTATTCTAAAATGAGCTGTTCATAACTGCCAAGTACAGCGGCGCTTCCTGATGGTGGAATAACGTATGCTGTTCATGGATAGGGAAGTTAGTCGCTAAACCTCAGCCAGAAAGCAGAGTGGCATCACGTCTTCATGTCTGCAAAGTGGCTTTCTAGACTACATGACATTCCACAATAATGCTGCGACATGGGGGCCTACAGGCCCCAGTGAGGGGGGCCACTTGGTGTCCCCCTGTACTCAGTCCAGTGAAGTCAGTGGAGTCCTTCCCTTTAGAATGAGGGCTGGGTTGAGAACATGGGTTTCTAAGTCTTCCCTCCTGGGAAAGGTTTGGTGTGTGATCAAATGTGGGTGCATCTGCCTGCCACCTTTACAAGCTGGGTGCTTTCTTCAAGCATGGCCTTTGGTCCCTTCTTTTCTCCTACTTCCTGTTTGACTTCCTTTCTTCTTTCAGGCTTTCTTTACCTTCATGTCATTTGTTCAAGAAGCAAGTGCTAATAAGGAAGATGTAGTAGGGATAGAGGGAGGAGTAAGTCAGCTGCTCTGTCCCCAGGGAATCACAGTCCAGTGCAGTGGGTGGGAGATGCGTCGGCGGGCATTCATTTGGTAGTAAGCAGCAATCTTCCAGAAGTGGTGTGAACTGTCAGGAGTTCTAGACAAAATTCCGAGTGTGTTCAGGGGAGGAAGAGATGGCTGCTGAGTAAGGGGATCAAGGAAGGCTTCGTGGAGGAGAAAGTACCAACACCTCTGTAGTGCCTGCTTCATACCTGGCCCTGGGCCAGGTGCTTTCCTTGTGGACTGTGCAGTCCTCCCGACAACCCTGAGAAGTGGCTGGTACAATCCCCATTCTACATGGCAGGAAGCAGGGGCTCTTTCTTTCTGCAACGCCATTGTGCTACTAACTTATCGCTCTTTTGTAAACTCTTAAAAAGATCTCGCAATCGACCACAGAGCCTTCAGGAACCCTACCTGCCATGACCACCACCCCTGCCACCCATGGAAAAATCATGGAGTTTAGAAATAGACTTGGCTTGAGTCTCAGCTCTGCCATTTACTGGAAGTGAGACCAAGGGGAAGTCTCTGTCCTCTCTGTGTCTCTCTGTAAAATGGGGGATAATAGTCAACAAAATACATGGAAGGATTAAGTGAAATAATAGGTGTGGCAGGATCTAGCATGATGCCTAGAAATAAATATTTGTTTACTTTCTTTCCCCTAAATTATCCTAAAATTATATGCTGGCTTTAATACTATAACCGTGTTCTGGTAAAAATGGAGAGATTTACTATTTGAAATTGCTTAGGATGATGTCATGGTTAGGAGCATGGTTACTCTGATGTAACCTCATTCTCATTAAGGTGTTTATGTCTCTGCAGAGGCTGACGGATCCCATGGACCAAGGCTTCCGCTTTATCCATTATTCATTGATTCTTATTTTCTTTATAGAAGAGCTACCAGATGGTGTTCTTGAATCTGATGATGATGAAGATGAAGATGATGAAGTAAGTTGGAGGTTCTTGACACCACATAGAAAACTCATACCAAACTATTTTCTCTTTCCTGCCTTGACAAGTTAGTCCAGAAGTGGAGATTTTTAATTCCTGCTATATCACTTCTCACAATTCTGAGGGTTGCCTAAAGCTCAGCTGGGTGGTGGTTCAGGTCTCACTTGGGGTCTCACGTGGAGGGCCCAGTGGCCATGTTTGAAGACCCCGACACTCCCTGGGTTCACAGCAGAGATGCCAGATTGCACGTCATTCGGGTTTCATGGGAAGCTGGACAATGAGCATCCTTCTATGTGAGCTTTTGCTCTGAGCGGGCACAAGCCTGGCCTGTCTTCCTCACCGGTGGGAGTACTGGGTGGGTAGGTGCCTGGCAAGAGTCTCTGGCGTGAGGGGTCCTGGGTTCAGTTCAGAGCTGACGGAACTGACCTGTTTACTCTGTGATTTGCCTTCTTTTGATTTATGTTTCCTCAGCTGTGAAAAATGTACTTGCCTGGTATTTTAGATCAGGAAGGTTCAGAAGTTAATGTGTGTGAGTCTGAATGGTGTAAAGAATGGTGACTCAGGAACTGTAGTTGGATTTTCAGATGACAGGATTTTACATGGTTTTCCTTCAGACACCTAGAAAGAAAAGTCCCCTCTGGTCACACGTGACTTGCCTGCCTTCAGTGTGCGGGGAGCAGTTAGCCTGCAGTGAATGCTGGAGCATGTTTTCATCTGTTTGGGCAGGGAGCATTCACTGAAAAAGAGGATGTTGAGGATGTTCTTTTGTTTGGAGTTTATAAAATGTGTAAAAGCCAAGTTTTTGATCACCAGTGGCATCCGTTGGGAAAGAGGTACTTAAGAGCCCCGTGCTGAGATCTGGAGACGCTTCCTCAGCAGGTGGCTGCGTTGCCTGCAGCTTTCTTCATGGGCTGCAGGTGGCATCAGCGGGTGGTGCTCCTGCTGGCTCTTCCTGCCTTGTCCAGCAGTGCAGAGCTTGATTCCAGACAGGGGGCCTGGCCATCATCTTCTTCAGGCCCCTTGGTTTACCAAGGTGGAGCCAGAGGGAAAAACACCAGCTTGAACTCACACAGAGAGTGGATGGTGGGAAAATCAGGTTGCGAACAGGAGTCGGCAGACACTTGCTGTGAAAAAGAAGATAGGAACTATTTTAGGGCCTGCAGGCCACAGCCTCTGTTCCAGCCACTCAGTTCTGCCCTTGTAACACACAGTGGCTGTCAACGGTGCATAAGTCGCTGAATGTGGCTATGTTCCTATAAAACTGTTTGTGGACACTAAAAATTTGAATTTCGTACAATTTTTGTATGTCATTAAATATTTTTTTCAAATATTTAGAAACACAAAAATCATTCTTAGCTGGCAGGCTTAGGAAAGCAGGCATCTGAAGCTTGGGCCAGGGTTTGCCAGCCCCTGGGCAGTTCTGGACTCTGAAGCCTTCTGTTGGTTGTAATCAGTCACCACCTTTGTGCCTCTCCCTTCAATATCATTCTGTGTGATAGTTTAAATGAAGGTTTAATTATTTGGTTTTAACAACTTTTTTTCATTGTGTCCAAAAGTTCTTCTCAAGATTTGTTTTTTTCCCTTCCTGTATCATCCCTTTGGGTCTTTTGGTCTGCTTTGGTTTTCCGTTTTGCTTTGGTTTTGCTATGAATCCTCTGTTTTCATCTTATAAGGGAAAATTCATTTGGTTCAGCTGTTCTGGTTAATGATGAGAACTCAACTTTTGGACATTTCCTTCTGAAAGCTATTGTCTACTATAAATGAACAAATACAGAAAGAAGTCTTTTAATTTTCTGGACTTTTGCCACTCTTTTAAGAGGCTGATATTTGAAAATGCTTGTGATAGCTAGAATTTTCAGAAGATTCCTAGAAGAGGTTTAGTTGGAAAAGTATAAGGAAAGGATCTGCCATTTGGGCCAAATGGGACTCTGTGATGAGTTCTGGGCAGTAGATGAGGGCTCCTTCTCCCAGGTAGGCCTCACTGGGCATCGCCAGGGTCAGCAGGGGCAGTCCGGGCACAGCCGATCTTGTCTGGGTTTTACTCAGCTTTTACCGGGACAAGCATTATGTTTATAACTACCTTTCAAAGCTGGAGGGAAGAAAGAAAGAAACAGATCTTAGGCTAAAGGGAAATTTCCAAGAATTCTTTGAGAAGCAGCACTGTTGTTGGAATGTGGTTATCACTTCCCAAGGTGACAGCTCTGAAGGAGACAGCGAAATTATTTGCAAGGTGTCGAAGTCATACCTTATCCTGCTTAGCAGTGTAAATTTTCTTTCATTTAATATTTAGACTCCAAACACAGAAAATGAAACCACTGTTTCAGTTTGCTGCTTAGCGACTCTAAAGATAAGTGGTTCTAATGGGGCCAGGCACGGTGGCTTACACCTGCAATCCCAGCACTTTGGGAGGCCCAGGCAGGCGGATCACTTGAGGCCAGGAGTTAAGAGACCAGCCTGGCCAACGTGGTGAAACCTCATCTCTACTAAAAATACAAAAATTAGCTGGTTACGTTGTGGCGTGCACCTGTAATCCCAGCTACTCAGGAGGCTGAGGCACAGGAATCACCTGAACCTGGGAGGCGGAGGCTGCAGTGAGCCAACATCCTGCCGCTGCACTCCAACCTATGCAACAAAGCAAGACTCCATCTCAAAAAAAAGTGGCTCTAGTGGGATGAGGCCTGAGGCCAGGGTAAATTATGCTCACTATAACTCACATTGAGCTGAAATCTGTGTACCCACAACTTCCACCACTACTAGTCCTCCACTGGAAGCTCTCAAGAACACCCTCGATGCAAAGTCTAGTTTTTCTCTCTAATTTGTAGTGACTTGATCTAACATGGTAACCTAACAAAGTTACGTCTGAATGTATGTACATTTATACACTCAAATTAAAAATGTAAAGGTAGAGCTAGAAATGCATATTCTGGTTTATAGACTATCTAGGATATAATGTCAAATAAAAAAGGAAATCATAAAGTAATTGACCAGTGATTTCAGTAAAATAAAATGTATAAACACTCATAGCTGTGGATTATAGATTTGCTTATGTAGCAAAAAGGCGTGGAAAGTTACACCCTCTTTGTTGACATTAGAAACGGCAAGGGGGGAATAGGAATAAGGAAGTTTGGGTGAGAAATGCAGAGAGGCCCGGAGGCCTCTCAGGGGAGAGAAGTGAGAGCAGGACATGGGGTTTAGTGGCGCAGAAGTCAGTTGCTGTGCATTTTTGTGAGTTGATGGAGCAAAAGCCAAATGAATGGATTGAGGAGCAGGTAGGAAGTGAGAAAATGGCATAAGAAGTGTGTGCTGCTCCTCCCCAGTCTGGCTGTGCACCGAAGAGCCAAGGTGGCTGAATTTTTGTTTGTTTGAGATGAAAGAAATTAAGCATGTTAAAATGCTGATGGATAGCTCCAGATGAGAGGGAGAGCTTCAACATGCAAGGTAGGGAGAGTCTAGAAGATGGCATCGAAAAGTTGGGTGTTTTCTTTATTTCCTAAATCACAATACTTTCTTGGCCCACAAGGCCTCAGACCCATTTAAACCTCCTGAGAAAGAAATCCATCATTAGATCAGCTTGGACAATACACCCCAGGGAATGGACAACGACAGCTGTTATTTAAGGGTTCAAATGCATCTCATTTAGCACTTTCGAGAAATGTGTTACCTGATGCATTTATTTCATATTAGACAGACGTAATATGTTACAAAAGGGCTGATGGTAAATCACTAAGTTTAGGAGGCTGGTTCCATTGTTCTCACCTCCAGTGGCTACGGTTTCCTTACCATATCACAGCTAGCTTCCTTGTGTGGCTTCGTGAAGTAGAAATGCAAGGCCTTTCTGTGCTATTCTAGAAGACTGATTTTTAAGACAAATGTTCTTCCCCCTTGACAAAATAGGTTTAAGTGCCAGGTGAGGTTAGACACGGACATTTACTTGCTGGTTGCCATGTAAGTGACAATTATATGCTCAGCAATCTCCTTCTGTACAGACTGCTCAAATCTGAGAGTTGCCCATTTATTTACTCAACAAATATTTGAGGTCCTCGAAATAACACTGTTGTGGGAACTAATGGGGAAGGGATGCAAAAGAAATCTAAAAGAGTGTCTGTGGTTTAAAATACCTCCAAGAGTTTCCAGCCTAGATAGGGAAGATCACGGTGATCCTGACAACAGCCGCTCCCGCCTGCTGGCATTGCCACGTGCTAGGTTCCTCATGGGTGTTCGGCCACCTCCTCTTCATAGCACCCCTGTAGTAAGTGCTATTTTATTCACATTTCACAGATGAGGAGACAGAGAGAAAATAGGTCACTTGCCAAGTTCACACAGCTAATAAGTAACTGATGAGGCTGGGATTCAAACCCAGGTGGTCTGACTCAGCGGTCCATGCTCCTAACCACTGCCCTGTGTTGCCTTCTTGTGAGACCTACATGAATGCAAAACAGCAAATAATAGAAAATAAGTATGTGATTACAGGTTCATCAAGGTGATAGACACAGGAAGTGCTGCAGAAGTTCCAAGTACTCCGGGAATACAGGGAGATGGCTGTCTGGAGCAAGACATTGCCTAGCCTGGGATGGAGAGGAAGTGAAATGGGTCGAGGAAGGGAAGGGTGTGGTCAGGAAAGCAGTGTGGCATCCTCTATGGGAGAAAGCGCAAGCACAAGCTTTATCCTTTGCCCCTCCACTGCAGTCACATCAGCACCCCACCAAGAAACTCATGTTAATGACTTATGTGCACGTGCTTTCATACTTAAAGATGCGCACACAGAGAACACAGAGATATGTACTGTTCACAGATCGGTATATACTTTTGTCAATATTTTTTTTACAAAATGAGATAACATGGAGATAGAAGCACACATACTTCTATACCATGTTGCCTTTTTCTCTTGTTAATGTTTCCGGAAAATCCTTCTGAGTTAGGCAGTGTAGCAAGTTGATGCTTTTTAATGCTATGAATGTATAATTTTCTAGATTTTTGCTACTTCAAACAATGTGGTA